CCTTTCCAAGGAAAAGCAAAGGCAAGGCAGCCAATCAGCACCTAATGAAGGCAATCTCCACCACTGACACAGGTACCAGTGCACGTTTCTTGGATACAAGGCCAGGTAGGTTCTTAAACTCCCAAGGTATGAATTATACTAACACTCAAGCACAATTGAACTCTACCTCAACCTATACTGGCTCTCAATAAGACAAAGGAAAAGGGGTAAACTCAGAAGCTTCTCACCCCACCGGAAAACCACAATGCAAGAATAATAGTGGTTTTTCCCACAAAATACAAGAGTACACTGTTTTGCACAATTCCACTAAACAAAAAATAAAAAATGACAACTATAATCTGCATGGCACTAAAGCCATACTTCGTACAAGTGGCAACAACGTGTCATAACAAACTTCTAATAATAACTACTCAAATCTTTTATCTCACAAAATGGACAAGGTAGTAAATCACCCGTTAATCAACATAAGCAACCAAAACACTATTATTACCCCTAGTACTAGCCACACCGGTGACTTAAACACCTAATCAAATGACACTAGTAATACAATACAAGATACTAATATGCAAAACACCCCCACTATTTTAAACTCCACCATGCAACACATGGAGGTTGAAGACTGCCAAGTGGATGAAGGCAAATCCATGCAAGATTTGGAAGATTTTCTTATAAACCACACGCAAACAATCCCACATACTACAACCATAGAGCAAATCATTACTAACCCTACTCCTCCAATCGATAGTATCACCCCTATATTACACCAAGCCTCTGAAAATGGCAAGAACACCAATAACATTGAGAAGGAGATATCACCTAATTCAACTTATCCACCTCTCAAGAAACCAGACAATGAACAACCTACCACCACTCCCTCCCCAAATCCAACCAAATCCAGTCGTTTATGCTCAACCTCCAAGCCCTCCCAATCATGTACCCCAATTATGGGTGGAACTGGGGCTTCAAGGGCATGCCATCTCCTTCAACATGGAGATCAATGGACATGAGTCCATTATAATCATACAGAACACACATTTCCTTGCACAACTAATCTTGGAGGGAATGACCCTAACCATTAACAACTACATAAACCAAAAGTGGATGAGCAACATACTACAACCACTAGCACCCTCACTAAATCAAAACCTAGTTCAAAATATGCAGCAGATGTGGAACATACCCCACAACTCCAACCAACAACTACCTCAAAATTCACCAATCAATCTCCCCTTCTTTGCTCCGGAGGACCTAATGATGCTGAACCCAATCTTTACGCAATGGACACCACAACAACCCATGCAAGACCAGCCACTAGGTCCTCAACCAGAGCCAATGGAAGAACAACCTCCAATTCCAAACATGCAGAATCAGGAAGGGATTCAGGAGGAAGAAGAGGAGGAAGAGGACGACTTAGCAATCTTGTTGGAGCCAGTGGTGGCTTTTTCAAACCTAAACGAGGTAAAAATATTAATCTTCAAGGAAAGTTTAGACAGGAAGTGTATCTGCAGCTGCCCAACGACACTCTACAAGTGCTCCTTGGACATCCGCCCTCCCCACGATCCCACAGTGGGCAAGAATGTACTCATTCTGGTTCCTTCTTTGAGGAGGAACCCAAACAACATCCCCCCTACCATGAGTCCCATGCATCAGCCCAGTAATATCATCATTTGGAACGTTAGAGGAGCAAACAATGATAATTTTAGGAGGCATTTTCGTGAACTAATGGACACTCACAAGCCTAATCTAGTTGCCTTGCTAGAAACAAAAATGGAGACTCACATTTCCATTCTAGAATGCTATCACTTTAATGAAATGGTCGAAGTTCCTACGGTTGGAAATTTTGGAGGTATGGTCCTCCTACGGGAACAATAAAGTGGTGAAGGTCAACAACTTCACCAGGAATGGCCAATCCATCCATGCTATGATAGAGGTAAAACCTAAGAATAATTCCTGGCTCTTTTCTACTATTTATGCTAGCACTGATATAGCCCTTAGACATTTATTATGGGATGATTTTAAATATATTTATGATAAATACAAGGGACCTTGGCTGGTTACCGGGGATTTTAATGAAATTACTAACTCAACGGATAAGTTTGGGGGCATGTCGATTAACCAAAAAAGGGCTAGAGCCCTAATAGATTGCCTTAGCTATTGTAATCTAGTAGACCTCGGTTACAAAGGGTGCAAATACACATGGTCAAACCATCGTAGGAGGAATAGGGTCTAATTATGGAAAGGTTAGACAGGGTCTACTCAAATTCAGAATGGTTACAAGAATACAACAATGTAACGGTTACTCATCTTCCTAAAATTCACTCCGACCATAATCCTATATTAGTTAACATAAACAATAGTATTAACCACACTAATGCTAGGCCTTTTAGGATGAAAACCTTTTGATTCTCTCACCCTGATTTTCCAAGAATTGTAAAAGAAAGCTGGGATAATAGGGACATTATAAAGGGGACTGAGCATTTCCAAAAACAGTGTTATGGAATGGAAAAAAGCAATATATCTTTACTAAAAAAAGAATTTTACTAAAGCGTATAACTGGTATTCAAAACTCCCCTAGTTACCAGTATAGCCAATTTCTTAGAGACCTATAAGTCAAACTAATAAAAGATTACGACTCAATCCTCAAATTAGAAGAGGATTACTGGAAACTTCGTTCTAGGGTTAATTGGTTAAATGAAGGAGACGCAAATACTAGGTATTTTCATATACAAGCCACTAATCGGAGAAGGAGAAATAATATCGTCTTCTTTATAGATAACCATGGAAACTGGATTGAAAATCAAAAAGCTCTTATGAACTATGTAGCCAATCATTTCCAAAATATTTTCACCACTTCTCATGAACACACAAGTTGGAAAAGCATTACTTTGGCTAACACTAGTTTTAACAAAGTAGATTTATCATGCCTTGACAGTCCACTTAAAAATCATGAGATTAGGAGAGCTATTTTTTCTTTTAAACCATGCAAGGCCCCCGGACCTGATGGTCTGCATCCTTTTTTCTTCCAAAAATTTTGGCCAATTCTAGGAAGTAAGGTCATTAGTTTATGCCAGAAAATTTTTAGCTCTAAGACTATTCCCCATGACCTAAATAAAACCTACGTTTGTTTGATCCCTAAGTTCAATAATGCAAACAAAATACAAAACTTTAGACCAATTAGTCTTTGTAATACTTTGTATAAAGTGATTACTAAAGTAATTGCAAACCGCATTAAGCCTTTCCTAAATTTTCTAATTAGTGAGCACCAAAGTAGCTTTGTTAAAAACAGACGACCCACGGATAATGCAATCATTATTCAAGAAGTACTAAAACGCTTTAATAGCCGGACAGGAAAAGGAAATTGGTTATTAAAGCTTGACCTAGAAAAGGCTTTCGATAAGTTGGAAAGGTCCTTTGTATATAGAACTTTAAAGTTCCACAACTTCCCTCCTAATATAACCTCCCTCATTCTTAGCTGCATAACAACAAGTTCTATCTCTATCCTAGTTAATGGTAATAAAATAAATGATTTTTATCCTACCAGGGGAGTTAGGCAAGGGGACCCAATGTCACCATATCTATTCATCTTATGCATGGATACAATCCAAAAATATTGAGCACCAAGTAGACACCCTAAATTGGGATCCCGTCTTTTTGAATAAAAAATGCCCTCCCTTGTCCCATTTGTTCTTTGCAGACGACTTAACCTTAATGGGTCGCGCAAATCAAAAAACTATCACTACAATGAGGAATAGTATGGAATTCTTTTGTCATTTATCTGGCCTTAATATTAACAAGGATAAATCGAAATTGTTGCTTTCAAATCTTGCCCAAATAGTAATAGTAATTGGATCACTTCTATTTTGGACATGAAGATTAGTAAGGATTTTGGCAAATACCTAGAATTTCCAATGAGTAGTAACCACCCAGACACAAATACTACCTGCCTATAATTGACAAAATGAGGGCTAGACTCAACATTTGGAATGCCAATTGGCTCAATATGGCAGGAAGGTGTACTCTCATAAGCACAATACCAAATCACCAAATGCAACTCTCAATGCTCCCTAGTAGGACACTAAAGGAAATAGATAAGGTCCAAAGAGACTTCCCCTGGGGAACTACATCTGAAAAAAAGAGAATGCACTTAATAGGCTGGAACGTGGTTACATTACCAAAGGAAATGGGGGGGCTAGGTATTAGAAAGGCAAAGTCTAAAAATTTGTCCCTTCTGACAAGCCTTGTTTGGAGGCTTCTTAATGAACCATCATCTCTTTGGGCACGAGTCATTACTAGCCTATATAGCTATACTAAGTCCACCAAGGGGGGTTCCAATACTTGGAAAAGCCTCCTAAAGGGGTGGAATTATTGTCAACAAGGTATAAGATGGCCTGCGAATAATCACACTAATGTCTATATGGGACACCAACTGGATCCCTAATTATGGTAAGCTAAGGAAAAACTTAGTAGGCCCCCTCACAAATAAGGAGATTGGATTAAAAATAAAAGACATCCTAATAAATAATAGATGGGATCTAGCACATATCTCCTTCGAACTACCCCACAATGTTATGAATAGTATTCACTCACTGACCACAACCTCCACACACTCTAGCAAGCTTATATGGAGTACAAATCCTAGTGGGATATTCACAACTTCATCATGCTACAAATTAATTGACACACAATCTCATACAAGTAAAGACTTTGCATGGATATGGGGCATGAGATGCCCTAGGAAAATCAAATTTTTTATGTGAAAATGTTACCACTCACGACTTCCTACCAGGGACTACCTAGGAAAAATTGGTATCAACATTGATACAACATGCCCAATTTGCAAAGATAGGAGTGAATCCCTACTTCATATATTTTGGGAATGTAAGGTGGCTAAATATTTTTGGGAATCTATAGGAATATTTTTTTCTAACCCTATGCCACACGAGCACTGGGTTGATTTCCTAAGGAAAAAAAACACCTCATATACCAACTACTTTCATCACATGGGAAGATGTTTTCCGTTTGCACTTTGGTCTATTTGGAAAAACAGGAACGAAAACAATGTAAATAATACCAACCTTACTATTAACACCACTAAAGTATTTCAACAAACACTGAAATATCATTTGCTCACATCCAAACATACTACTAGTAATATTCCCATAAAGGTGAAGGTAAAATGGCATCCGCCTCCTAGGAATTGGTACAAGGTCAACTTTGATGGTGCGTTCAAGAATGAAAGCCTACATGGAGGAATCAGTGGAATCATACGCAACAACAAAGGAGAGTGGATGTTGGGTTACTATGAGAAGTGTCAAATTATATCACCTATCCATGCAGAACTTCTAGCTCTTCGACAGGCACTTCAAACAATTATCAGGGAAAAGTTCACACCATGTGAACTAGAGACAGATGCCACAGAGGTGATTCATTTTTTAGAAGAGGATTATCCTACTTACAGCAATTTAATTTATGAATGCAGGTGCTTAATGGGGAAGGCAATGGAGCAGGGGGAGATCATAATGAAGCACAACTTCCGTGAAGGGAATATGGTGGCACACAAGATGGCCAAGGAAGCTCTAAAGTACCCTAGTTATAATATAACCCTTTATTTTGCTAAACCACCTAACTTTGCAATAGATGTGTATTGTAAGGATCAGGAAGGTTGTAACTATTTCCGTTCATGTAGTATGTATGCATGCAACACTCTAGCATCTCTAGGTAATGATAATGCCCTAAATGGCATGGCACAATTATGTACTAATGGCATCTCTATGGGTCTTGTACCCTAGTACAATGCCTGTTTTATTAATATTAATATAAGTATCTTTTCCCTTCAAAAAAAAAAGGAAAGAGACAAAGAGACGAACGGAGATTTGGAGATTTGGATGAAAAGAAAGGCATTCCGGTAGATGGATGAAGACAAAGTAGGCCAATAGGTTGGAGAATTAAAGTTAAAAAAAATATAGGGTAAAAATATAATAATGGAGTAATAAGTAAGGGTATAATTGGTACCACATCAAATCCTTTGTTTCATAAAATGAGATTTGGTTTAACAATACAATCAATTTAAGTAAACAAATAAAAGAAATATTATTTTGGAATAACAATACAATAAGATACAATGGCTAACAACCATCCAAACAAGCTGTAAATGACGAGGGCTGTTCAGTTTTTGGTTCGGTTAGTTTTTAGCTAGGGTTTTAAATGTTGACCTGAGCAAGAATAACTTATTTTTCGTAAACATCAAAAGATCCTTTTGCCTTGTCCTTCGTGATTGTTCCTTTTCTGGAATAGTACACGAATGCCATTTTCACTCTCTTCTGGAACTCGACTCTCTCTGTCTTCACTCCCTCTCTCTCTCTATGCTCGTACAACTAAGAATCTATTACCCCATTTGTATTTTCTCACTGAAAATTTTCAATCAAGTCTCATTTTCTAAGAAATGATACAATTATAAGTTGTGATTTGTGATCTTTCTTCTAATGTTGTTCATGCATGGGGGCGCGATCACAGTGTCGTCTAGCATAATAAAATTTTATGCATTTTGAGATTTCTGTCATAAATATGGATTATGTTCAATTGTTGTACTAGGATTTAAGTTTTCACGGAGGCTCAGTTTCGTATGCAAATGTATAATATGTTCCCTTAAAAATGCAATAAATTTCAACAAACCGTGTCAGGAAATTTAATTGTACTACCTTGATCTTAAGGAAGCAATTTTTCCTATAAGCTTGGTCAAATATCTTCACTTTGGAAATATATATATATATATATATATATATATATATATATATATATATATATATATATATATATATATATATATAACGATCCGACCGGTCGTTTTGCTTTTTAGAACCCCGTTCCCCTAAATAAAATTTTCCGCGCTTGCTTTAGCTAATTTACGACTTGCGGGGGTGATTGGTTCGGGATTTGGAAGGGTTTGGGTTGAAATAAGCTCACTCGATTCCTTAAGATTTTCTTAAAGGGCCAAGTTTGACTTTGATCAACATTTTTAGCAAACGGACCCGGATCTGTGTTTTGACGGTCCCGGAGGGTCCGTAGGAAAATACGGGACCTGGGCGTATGCCCATAATCGAATTCCAAGGCCCCTAGCCCAAGTAATAAATTTTTATTTGAAATTGTTAACTGAAATTCCAAGGATTTAAAGAAAACTAAATAATGATTGATCACGTCGGTATCGGGCTCGTATGTTGGTTTCGGAGCCCAGTACAGGTCCAATATAACATTTAAGACTTGCCCGCAAAATTGGTGTCAATCCGAGTAGTTTAAGTACGTTTCGGCACGTTAGAAGTGAATTAAGAACTTGAAGTTCATAAGTTTGATTCAATTGGTTTTAGGGGGTGATTCTTAGATTTAGCGTTGTTTCAGGCGTTCCGAAGGTTTGAGCAAGTCCGTTTCGTGATTTCAAACTTTTCGGTATGTTCGGACGGGGCTCGGGAGTCCTGAGCGTCAATCGAATGAGGCTCGAGTGAAGTTGGAATTTTTGAAAGAGCTGAAGCTTCAGTTGCTGTCATAACCGCACCTGCGGTTGGTCAGCCGCAGGTGCGAGACCGTAGAAGCGGTCGTCCCCTCGCAGATGCGGCCCAGGGCCGGCCAGGTCAAAACCGCAGAAGCGGCTGCGCAGAAGCGGGTTCAAGACCGCAGAAGCGGTCCCAACTCGCTTGGCAAATTTCACAGATGCGTCCTTCTTTTCGCAGAAACGGGACCGCAGATGCAATCCCCCGACCGCAGAAGCGGAAATCGCTGAAGCAGTGAGCTTCATTTAATACGGGTTCTAAGTTATTTTGCATTTTTCTCTCCTCCATCGGGCGATTTTTGAGAGAAGACTTCCACCTAGCATCTTGAGGTAAGCTTATCCTACCTATTCCTAGTTTAATACTTGTGTCTTAGGTAGATTAACACACTAAGATTAAGGTAAAATCATGGGGTAAGAGCAAAACTTAGGGTTTTGATAAAACTTAGATTTCCACGAAATTGGTTATGAAACGAAGTAGAAATCATATATTATTGATCCTTAGGTTACAAAGAACAACTTTATTCGAAAAATTTCGAAATCCGGGCACGTGGGCCCGGGGTCGGATTTTAGGAAACTTGTGTTTGAGGTTGGGAAATTGCTTCAATAGTTAGAATGCGATCTTGTGAGCTTGTATTGACTAGTTCCTACCCCATTTAACTAGTTTTGGATCGTTAGGCTCCAAATTGAGAGTTTGGGCTCGTTCTTGGTATTGGAAGTGCACTTTGGAGCGAGGTGAGTCTCCTTTCTAACCTTGTAAGAGGGAATTGTCCCCATAGGAGTAATAATTGTATAATTTGCCACTAAATGCGAGGGCTACGTACACACTAGGTGACGAGAGTCCGTGTGTAGCTACTATTATGTTAATTGTCCGGGTAGTTTAGGACCGTATCATGCTATATTTGTAAGTGTTATATGTCTTCTTGCTAATGTGATCATTTAGGATATGCTAGAGAATTGGAAATGAACATAAGGGAACATATGTATCGTTGAACACTTGTATGAGTTTAATTAAATATAAATGCGCCTTCTTGTATGTTCCTGTTGGTAATTTTTATTTGTGGATCGGACCGATCGCCTCGGTAGAAATAGATGCATCTATGGTTCGCGCCATTCGACCCTCTGGCAGTGCACGGTTTTTTTTCTGTTGGATCGGGCCGTCGACCTCGGCATGATGTGCGCATGATATCTATGTGAATTATTATAAATGACTTGCTTGTTAAATGGTTTGAAATGTAAATGACTAGCTGTGATATCATTAAGGGCATGACTTATTAGTTCTTATTACAACTGTTATATAATTGTAACTTTCATGCCTAGCACAATACCATATTATATTATTTGACCCTAGTAGGTATCAAGTCGACCTCTCGTCTCTACTTCTTCGAGATTAGACAGGATACTTACTGGGTACATATTGTTTATGTACTCATGCTACGCTGCTGTACTTAATTGTACAGGCTCTGAGGCAGATACATCTGGCTGTCAGACCGGTGCGCGTCCCTGATCATAGTCCGAGGCTACCACAGTGAGCTGCTTCCCTTCCTGTGCCGATCAGCAGCTTGATGGAGTCTCTCTTACTTTTGACTGTCTATTTTATTTCAGACAGTAGTATAGATCTATTATTTTATGTATTCTACTAGTAGCCCACAGCTTGTGACACCAGGTCTTGGCACACACATTAGTAGACTAATATTTTGGGTTGTATATATTGAATGTTGCTTATTATCACACGTCTTTAAATTTGAAATTAAGCAATGGTCGTAACTGTTTTAGTTAAGTAAAGACAAGAATTCACTACTATTTCCGCGTTGGCTTGCCCGACAACGGTGTTGGGCACCATCACGGTGTTGTACGACTCCCACCCTATTATTAGTGCCTTAAATTAAGGGATTCAGTTAAATACTTTTTTCCCTCTACTCTCCTCTCTCCTTTTTTCCCTTTCCCTAATTTCTTCAGTTTGTTTGACTAACACGCTCATCCACAAATCGGTCCATTCGAAGACAAAAAATACATATGATTCTCGAGTATATATACATACAATTTTGGGTTTTAAGATTTTGTGATTTGTTTGGATTAGATATTCTTGCAAGTGATTGAATATCTTTTGGAGTTTATATCTCAAATTTGATGGAGATTGATTAAGTTAAAGTTAGTTTTAAGTGAAAACTCAGATTGAAAGAAGAAGAAGTAGGAGAAGAAGAAGAAGAATATCTCAATTTTGATGGAGATTGATTAAGTTAAAGTTAGTTTTAAGTGAAAATTCAGATTGAAAGAAGAAGAAGAAGAAGTTGCAGGGATTGTATGATAATTGTTTAATAACTGTATCATAATTGTGGATACATCAATAGCTGAAACATAATTGGATCATAAATGTATCGTACTTGTATTACAATTGTATTTAACTTGTATTTGATACATTAATACCTAAAACAATACGTGATACTATACTAACAAAATTCTCATATATTTTTTATACAAACTGCGACACATTTATGAAAAATAGTGATACAATTAAGATCTTCATCTTCTTTGATTTCAATCACGACTCTAAACTTAAAATCTGATATAATATTATATTATAATTTTATTAGTATTGTCTCAAAATTGAGATATAAACTACAAGGTATATTCTCCATCGTTTGCAAGAATACCCAATCCAAAGAAATCACAAATTTGTATATCTGGAATATTGAATTTAAAGTTTCGAAACTTTTTAATGGATGTCGATGGAGAACCCTTTGCTGCAATTTTAGAGATAGATTTTCGCCATTTTTGTTTATATTGTGAGAGAAGTATCGATTTTGGATGATAAGTATGAGGGAGAGAGAATGAGATGTGATATATTTTGAAAAATAGATGAAATTCAAATTTTTAGGAGGGGGATTTAGCGAAAGAGAGAGAATGAGATGCTAAATTTAAGGAATCCTCTATATTCTTTTTTTTAATTATTTTGTATATAAATGATAAATATAGATATAGAATATAATTAAGCAAGAACCCATATAAAAGTGGTAAATAAATTTATATTATAGTATAGCTAGGTAAATCTCCCCAAAGAATTGGCCAAACATACCATTAATATAATTTATTTTATATAAGTCTTAATTTGTTTTAATTTCTTCACATAAAAGCGCCGCAATGGGGAACCAAAGGCCCTGTGCACGCTTTCTACTCCATTTCTAAAACACGAAAGGCCGAAAGAATTGCTATGGCGCTATATTCAGCAATTCGCAGAGCTTCTAACTCCACAATTCCTCTTGCGGTTCGCTCCGTCGCTACTGCCGCGACTTCCTATTTCTCTGCCGTCACCTCCGGCGTAGAAAATAATGATTGCGGCAGCGTTTTTCGAAGCTTCTCAATTCCGGTGCTTCACTACTCTACCAGCGCAGTCAAGAAGAAGAAGAGCAAACACAGCTCCTTTGATGATATTCTGCTCCAAATCGTCGATTCGGAAATCAATTTTGCCCTGGATTCTGATTTTCATGACTGCGTAAGTTCCTGCTATTTGAATGCTGAGATAAAATATCAAATCAGTTTTTCTTTTCTTTTCCTTTTTGTGTGGTTAATTTGACTGTTGCTGGCCTGTATGCTTAGAGTACAGGTATGCATCATGTTATGTTTGAATTTAATCTTCTAATTAAATCACTTTCAATTTGCAATAGAAAGAATCATATTAATGACTTTGAAAGAAATAACAATGGACCACAGAAGAAATATTTGTGTCTTACACTGCTAAAGCTCTAATAGCGCTAATGTCATTCTACCTTCAAAGTTTCGTAACTTGTTACTCCCTATGTTCAATTTTATATGACACTATTTTTGTAAATCTGTTTTGGGAACAATGACACATTTCTATAGTTGGATACAACTTAACTTTAAATCTCTCATTTTGCGCTTAATGACATGATTTTATAGCCACACAAATGTTATGGCATGTTAAGAGTACAAGTTACAAAAGTCTATCTTTCTTTCTTAAACTCCATAGTCCATATAACAAATAGATTCACACAAATTGAACTTTCTGGGGTTAGCCAACCTGATAGTGTTTTGATGAAGTTTTTATTACTTTAGTCGGATTTCCTTAATTACTTTGATTATTAAAGATTTATACTAATGTTTAAGTGTTAGTTGAAGCATCGGCATGAAGTTAAGAATTTAGATAGCTGTGAAGGAAAATGATTTCGGCCCTAAGTGAGGGTCCTAAGGGAAGTTATTTTCGCCCTTTTGGTGGAAAATGCTTTTCATTTTCTGGCAACCAAACGCCAGAAAATTACTTATTTTCTGATGCAAAAGTATTTCCCATCATACTAAACACAAAACATGAGTCTATAAGTCAAGCTTATAATTTATGCAATCATATGCACCCTAATTTTATTTGAGAAAGCACCAATATTATCACCACCATTTTCGTTATCTTTGAAGGGATGCATAGAATATCAAGAATCTGAAGTTGTCTTGAGGACATTCTTAAAGTTTTTACTGATATTTCAATGGAAAGTTTTGGAAATTTGTGGAGATTCTTAAATGACATAAATGTAACTTTGATTGACTCATCCGTATGATTTCATGCCACATCTGTCTTTAGATCGATGCTGATCAGTGATATCTGATGAAGCTTAAACGTATGACGGCATAAGATGACACCACTATTATTCTACATGGGGAATTCCCTGTAATCTATTATTGCAGAGTCTGTTCATTTAGCCATTATATAAACGTCTATTGTGGTTTTCTTTTTTCTTTCTAAAATATCCGCGGTGTTACTTATTGCGAGTTTGTTGACCCACCCAGCTTTTCTTTTCTCTATTACTTGCAACTATAATTTGTAAATCGTAAAGGTCTCTAGTGTTCTGCTAGCGGGGGACTGGGGTCTAGCTTAAAACAATATTGAGATGGCTCATTCCATGTTTTTCCTCTTATGCAAAAATCAGTTTCTATATATCGTTTTTTTTCTGTTGTAATGGTGTGAACATCACATTCTATTATCACTATAACTAGTGAATAGAGTATGGTTTAGAATGATCAATTGGAACCACCAGTTATTCTTATTGGATGATGTTCAAACATTTCATAACAAATAAATAATGGCACACTTATGTAAATTTGAATTAGCATGTTCTTTTTTTCTCTGTACTAGGATGAATAAGCTCTATGCCATCGCCTTTTTTAACTTTTCCTTTCTATATTCCATTTTTATCCTCTTGTGGAAGGATAGTAAGAGGTTTCCATGTGTATCCTTGCCAATTGTTCCAAAAGCTTAGAAATTTAATACTGTTAATATCTGATTTGTAAGGGGCTAAGAGCAGTCCATTGAACTGGAGCATAAGCTATTTGATTTCTGATAATCAAATCGTAAGGCGTTTGTTATTAACGGAAAGGTATAAAATATTCTGAGAAAAAAAGAGTAACTGCCCAAGTAGCAGGACTAAAAGTTGACGAAGACCATAAATATGGTATCAAACTAAGTGATGGTTTTAGTTACTTCAGATTAACCTACTTGATGGTTGATGCAAGATATACAATAAGGTAAATCAAGCTTAATATAATTTTCACCCATCTATGGTCTATATCCACTTTCTTAATATGTAGAGACCACCAAGGTTAACTGCCTAACTCTAAGTGTGCATATCAATCCACAATTTCTCTGAATGTAATAGTATGGCAATTGGATGTTATCGAGCACGTTTACCACCTATTGCATCACTTGGTTGAAAATTTCCTTAATGTAGGTTGTAGACATCCCAGATGGGTTTCCTTTTAAGGTTCAAGATAAAGCTGGAGAAAGAGTTATTGTTCTTACAAGAGATTATGGAGAAGAGACCATAAATATTGAAGTTGACATGCCTAATGCCAGATGTGAAAATGCTGCAGATGATGCTGTTAACAGTGAGGAAGAGAGTGAGCCACAACCTAGTGTTCCATTGTCTGTCACCGTGTCAAAAGAAAATGGCTTGTCACTAGAGTTTGATGTGAGAGCTTTTCCAAATAAAGTTTTGATTTGTGGAATATCCATCAAGGAGCTCAAAAGTTCAAGCAATCAGCTAGACTATAGAGGGCCTGCTGTTTCGTAAGTACTTATCTATTGTCTGATGGAGTTGGTTTGGAGCCACTTTGTTATACTAATTACCCAAGTTGTGTTTATCTTCTCTTCAGACTTCTAAATGAAAGTCTGCAGAAGTCTTTCTATGAATATCTTGAAGTCAGAGGGCTGACGGGCAGCACTGCCAACTTCTTGCTGGAGTATGTAATTAGCAAAGACAGCAAGGAATACATCCGGTGGCTAAAAACTATCATGAAGTTTGTCGAGAATTAGCCTTCTTTTTTTGTTAATATTTTAAGTAGAAATGGTGAGCCTAACTGTTTTTGTTTCGAGTTGTTAGTAGTGTAGCAAGGATTTGTACTGTAGCTGAGTTTCTTGCTGGATATGTTTTATTATCTACTTTTATCTTACTATCTGACCTCTTTCTTTTGAGCAGGTCTGTAGTTGAGGATATTATTGCTAAA